GTAACTCACCTGAGGTCAGGCAGGAGCAGGCGGTGACCTCTGTATCGATCAGGATGTGTTACGTTGCAGTATCAAACAACTCCAAAATGTCAGTACGTTAACAGAACAAAGATGCGTTTCTTTCTCAAAGGACCTGTTCGTCCGGGTTGGCAGCGGTCCCTCGGGATCCCGGCAGAGAGGGACCCACCATCACGGAGCTGCACCGCCTGGGATAATGTGCTCCCGTTGCCATGGCGAACAGCCGACAGGTCTCGCACCAGCGATCACACACTTCGGTTTGGAAGTAGCATGTTTCTTCTCCTTACCGTACGTTGGCCCAGATTAGCCAGGCAGGCCCTGCCAGGGGCCTCGGAGAGGGGGCAGCCCATGTTAGTAAGTCCTGGCAAAGCCTGTCCGTGTGGCCGTACCGCTCCATCAAGCTCCTGACTCCTGGGTTAAACTGCTTTGATGCATTGCATTTATGGGTTTGTTCCTCCCCCGCCTCTCTCTCTCTCTCTCTCTCTCTCTGCATTCCTCTAGCACCGTGGTCGACAAACTGCGGCTTGAGAGCCACATGCAGCTCTTTGGCCCCTTGAGTGTGGCTCTTCCACAAACTGCCAGTCTATTTGGAAGAAGTGGCGTTAGAAGAAGTTAAAGTTAAAAAAATTTGGCTCTCGCCCTGGCTGGTTTGGTTCAGTGGATAGAGCATTGGCCTGCGGACTCAAGGGTCCCGGGTTCAATTCCGGTCGGGGGCATGTGCCTTGGTTGCCGGCGTATCCCCAATGGGGGATGTGCAGGGGGCGGCTAAGCGATGTTTCTCTCTCATCGATGTTTCTAACTCTCTATCCCTCTCTCTTCCTCTCTTTGGGAAACCAATACAAAATTTTTTTTTAATTGGCTCTTAAAAGAAATTTCAATCATTGTTGATATTTGGCTCTGTTGACTGAGTTTGCCAACCACTGGACTAGCACAAATTCCACTCTGTTAGATGATGAGGATACTAAAATAAATGATGCATGCTCTCTACCTTTAAATGCCCTTATTTTAAGAAGGAAGTGCTAATGCTAATGTGTCATACACAGACCCCTGTGATGCAATCAGACAAGTATGAGTGAGGTGAGCAGGATACAGCCCACCTGTCCTGGGACTTGGGCAAGGTTTCCCTCCCGGGGGAGATGGCCTTGAGTAACATAAGTACAATGTGCACATGGAAAGGTAGGAAGGCCTGGGCATTCCAGGCGGGGGAAGAGCTTGGCCAAAAGCACAGAGGGCCAGGAGAGGGCAAGGCTTACTCCAAACAAGACTGTGTTGAGATGTCGGTAGGTGAAAGGGAAGGTAGGATGAGTGGATCCTTGGGGACCTTGAACTTCCACACTTTAGTGAAAAGTGCAGACAGGAACATGTCTATGCCTAAGGCAGACTAACTCCTAACGGGTGGCTTTTAAGGCTGCAAAGAATGGTGACAAAGGGGTTGTTGGTGTCATTACTTATGCTCAGTCTAGGGCAATGGTCGGCAAACTCATTAGCCAACAGAGCCAAACATCAACAGCACAACGACTGAAATTTCTTTTGGGAGCCGAAAACCGACTTCTGCGCGTGGGCCACGAAGTTTCAGTCGCACTGTACGTGGTGTTTTGTGGAAGAGCCACACTGGAGGGGCCAAAGAGCCCCTCTCGAGCTGCAGTTTGCCCACCACTGATCTAGGGTGGCATAAAGGAGGGGCCTGGGCCCTGGCACAGGAAGAGGCCTGATACAGGCCACACGCTCCTGTTCTGGGCTTGGGGACGCAGAGAGGAATCAAACACATCCGAGGTGGACACAGCACCGGAAGCATCTGAGCTAACACTCCTTGGCCTAACAGAATTCACCTGACCTCCATGTTTGCATAAACTGGCTTATTCTCCTGTTTGTCTCCTCCACCCCCACCCCCAACCCCCTATTACTCTATTCTGTAGACCGGAGACCGGATGGCAGGACACACACAGGCTTTATTGGAAGGAAGGGTACCCCTGCCGGCTGCTTCCACAGAGAGGAGCAGAAGAGAGCAAGCAGGGGCTTACAGGCACCTTCAAGGATAGAGGGCGGGGCTTAGGGCACTCAGCACACGCTGATTGGTGATTAGGGACCTAGGGACTTAGGAATCGGGGGCTTAGGGTGTTTGGCAGGTGCTGATTGGTGGTTCAGTGCTCAGGAATGTCTGGCTGCAGATGGGGTTTACGTCTGTCCATCAACTGGAGGAAGGGAGGATCTATCAGTTTGCTTTCGGGTTCCAACTACCATGCCTTGTATTACCTGTTCCAGTTCAACTTACCTGGCTGCAGCCTCAACATCCACCCTGAACCTGGGCCTCCTTCCCAGCCAGGCTGGACTTGCCCTGGGCTACCTACAGGCTCTTGGCCCCAGACACAGGCCTCCAAACAGCAGCCCCACAGCTCTGCTCCTCCCGCAGCAGCAGCCCGGGGCTGTGAACACCAACCATCTTGGAAATGGGTGGCATCACCTCAGAAGCATTTTTTTTCAGCTTTCATCCCCCTCTCTGTCTCATGTCCCATGCCCCGTGTGTACAAAGAGGCTACTGTGGAATAAATAGCTCTGGTTTGGTTAGTTGTTAGCTGGATGAGGAAAACAACAAACCCTTTGTATCACTCTAGTGATTTTTAGCTTTCAAAAACATTATCAGCCCTCGCCGGTTTGGCTCAGTGGATTGGCCTGCCACTGATGCTGGAGGGTCCCAGGTTCGATTCCGGTCAAGGGCATCAATCTTGGTTATGGGCTGGATCACTGGTCGGGGTGTGTGCAGGAGGCAACCCATCAATAGGTCTCACTCACATCGATGTGTCTGTCACTACCCCTCCCTTCCACTCTCTAAAGATCAATGGAAAAATACCCTCAGGTGAAGATGAACAAAAACAAACAAAAACAACTTTGTTAATATATATCCTGTAAAAGGAGCAAAGAGAAATCCTTACAATCTACCAAAATAGAATTCGGAATTTCTCATCAGAATGGCTTCTGTGTGTACACCATTTTTTGTGTGTGTGTTTCACTTTGTTTCACTACAAGTTCAAAGGTTGACACCTGATAGCTTTGCTTTCTACCAAACCACTGCATTTTAATAAACAGACCCAATCCTGTCCCACCCTTACCCCCAAATCCTTTGGAATCTCGATCCCTGACTCAGTTTCCCCCTTCCCCATCCCATAATCAGACTTGGCATAGAGCATTTGGATGCTGTGTCCGCAAAACACGGAGGCTGGAGCTGTTCTGTTCCTCTCCGAACTGGCACATTGGCCTCAGGGCTCTGTGAGTCACAAACTGAGTAAAATGTGCTTGCCCTGCAGGGCCTGAAGGGGACCCAAATATGCTATCTGCGATCTCAATCCAAAAATCTCCTATCCTCCCCCAAGTTTGGACCATTTCACCCCAAATCAGGCAAGCTTTTACGTATGTGGAGCTGTTCATGCATGAATAACACAAAACATGGTACTTTTTAGAACATTTATATTTATATATAAAAATTAAATATATATAATATATAGTGTGTTTGAGACTAAAAATATAGTACATAATATTTTTTAAAAAAGGAAAATGAAAAAAAGGCAGAATAGGAAAAGTCGTGAAGGACACACAGATACACTTGCTAAAAATCTACGATGGTCTGTCCTAACAAAAATATTTTTTCTCTCTTCTTTTAATCATCGTGGATCCATTTAGTATTGGGGTTTGCGTGGGGGGGAACTCGTTTGGAGCCAGAAATGGAGGTTGCAATCCCAATTACGGTTGGGGTAGAAAATGAGACCACAGGGAGCCCTGGGCCTCTTTCTGGAGAAATCGGCAGCAGCCAGATCTTCCAAGTCACTATTGCTAGCAAGTGAGTGGAGTTTGGCTGCGCTGCACCATGGCTGCTCTCGTCCAAGCTGGGGTGTTCGCAGGGGCAGCATCTCAAGATCAGAAGCTCCCAAAGGAGCCATAGCCCACCCACACTTGACAAGACCACTGGCTGGGGCCCTCAGAAGCCAGCACGGGCAGGAGATGGGCAGGAATGAGTGAGCTACATGCAAACGGAGTTGTTTTTAAGAGCAGGCTCATGACGGTACCCCCACTACGCACAGCAAATATTCCTCCGGGAGCAGGACTGGGCCCTCACAGTGATGCAGGAAAATGGGATTCTGCCTCCCCTCCGTCTCCCAAGCCGTGCCTTTCAGTCCTCTCCTCGTCTAGAGGTGAAAGGTCAGGACAAGCTGATAAAGGCCAGGCCTTCCAGGAGGCTGGCCTCCAGAGGAGAGAAGCGGGAGGAGCTGGGGAGGGAGAGGCAGAGCGAAGGGAATGGGATAGTTAAATGCCAATTTTATAGCCTCTTCACAAAAATAAATGCCTTCCCAATGGCACCCCTGGGCCTGAGCACTCGAGTTCCATGATTGCTTCCTCGCTGGCCCCACCGTGGCCGGGCGGTCACCGGGCCGGCACACACAGCACCGAAGCAGCAGAGAAGCCGGGCTCTGGGGCCGGGTTGGCCCGGGCAGTGTAGCCATGGGGACAGTGCCCACAGCAGAGGCAGTGACTAAGCCAGGTCAGTCCAGCTGGGGTCTGGGTTTTATCATTTTTTTCATACCCTATAGTAAGGTGACCAGATGGCCTGATTTTGAACAATTTGTCCTGCGTCCCTTTAAAAAAGTCCTGATTTTTGCAAAGCTTTTTTAAAATGCGTGGGACAAATTGTTAAAAATTGGGACTATCCCGCCAAAATAAGGATGTCTGGTCACCTTACCCTATAGTGACAAACCACCGGATTCCATTTGAAGGAGCCCAGGATTGCCGTCTGGGTAACGAGAGGGCCAGGGGCAGAGAGGCTGCCTCATGATGCTGGGTGAGAAGACACAGCGGCTGGAGACAGTGGTCAAACCAACCATTTCATCCCCAGCAAAACAGCACCGCCCTAACCCGTGGCCACTTTCCTTCCTGATTTAGGGTTTTTGCTTAATGCAAACTCTGTGGGTGGGCGGAGGGGTCCAGGATTGGGGATGCAGGCAAGGCCCTCGGCAAAGGAACCCTGGCTCACCCAGCAGCCCGAGAACCGCTTCCAGACCCAGAATTTGTCAGAAGTGCTGGACCCACATGCCCTTCCCTCGGGCCCCGTCACAGAGGGGTCAGCTGACCTCAGGCCTCGCCCCCTGTACCCACCCCTCAGCCTGCAGGCTTCCCCTTGTAAGCAGTCGCTGGGCAGGAAAGGCCTCTCTTGCTTGGCACCCCGGAGGCCCCAGGGAAGAAGGTTCAGCAGCTCTGTGTCAGGCCTCAGAGGACGAATGGCCCCTCAGTGCCAGGTGACAGTGACCTAGTGACCTTGGCCCCCTCCTCTCCATCGTTTCAACAGAATGGACCCCACACTGCAACCAAAAAGGGGGAAAGAGGAGAATCTGACCAAAGCCCAAACAAAACCTCCTTGTGGAGTATTCCCGATGTTTAACAGGTTACCCATGACGTTTGGATTCTGTGAAAATCACCAAGGTGCCTGAATCTGCAGAGGAACCCGCATCCTTAACAGGCCTCCTCGCTGAGCCCGCCTACGAGGACCGCGCAGGGAGGGGTCGGCTCCCGGGCTGGGCATGGGTAGGAGCCTGGACGCTTCCCAAAGGGCAGGTGCCTGGGGCTCCGGCCCCGCCTGGAGGGCAGAGGTAGCTGGGAGGCCAGGCGTGTCACCCCGCAGACCCACCCAAAGGTGCCGATGGCCCGTGGCCCGGGAGCCTGGCACTCACGAAAGCGAACTGGATCGTGACTGGCGACCACGAGAAAAGCCGGGGTGCATCCTGGGGGGCACAGGAGGCCCCGCCCGGGTCTTCGGGGCTGAGCGAGCTGGGGGTGCACTCCAGGCCCTGCTCTCGGGAGGCCTAGGTCCCCCCGGGGTTCTTTGGAGTGCTGGTTCTCTTTGGTTAGCAGGTGGTGGCTGAAAGCCATGGGGACCGAGCGTGTGCATGTGTGGGTATCAGCCTGGGCCGCGGCCGCCTGCAGTGCCCTCTGGACCACCTTACCCAGTCTTCCCTTCCTCCTACCAGCCCCCTGGCCCTGCTGTTCCCGAAAACCTGCAACGCTTGACAGTGTCTGGGGCTCAGAATGCCTGCTCCCTGCAAGCCTCCCACACAGGGCCGGCCAACCTGAGCGCAAGGCACTGCGAAGCGGAGGAACAGGATGGATCCAAGAGGGGGGAGAGACGCTTAAGCAAAACCCGTGCGAAGAGCACATCTCGCCCCCCTCAGAAGGTGGTCTCTAGGCTGCTGTGGGTTTGGGGTGGTGCGGGGTGTCTGAGAGCCGGGTCCCCTCCCTAAGCCTGTCAGCCCGTCCGCAGACAGGCCTCACCGCCCGAGGCTCGGAGACAGAGGAGCGGACGGTGCCAAGAAGCTGGTGAAGGGCAGGTGCCCACTCCTTCTCACCAGGACTGGTATTCGGGCGGGGGAATCCCTACAGCTTTATTGTTACTCCCCCCCCCCCCCCCAAAATGAGATGTTTATTGTTATTGGGGAGGGTTTTTTTGTTTTGTTTTTTCTTTGAAAAAATAGCCTATAAGACTCCTACCCTCTCACCACACCTCCCCAGGCAGGAAGGGGGGCAGACTGGGGAGAGAAAGGCTAGGGTGGGCACCCCTAGCGTGGCTTCTGCAAACGGCTGCGTCACAGACAGTCGTCTTGCTGGTGAGTCAGGACGTGGTTCCTGGCCTTTCCTTCTTCCACCATGAGCCCTGACATGGCTGGCCAGCCCCGCACAGAGAAGGTAAGGGGGGCAGCCTGATCCCTCTGCAGACTGACAGACGGGCGTCCGCAGCGGGCAGCCAGGAGGGCGGGCATTTTCATCTCCCTGGAGGAGGGCTGGATTTGAACTCGGTGCCAGGGCTGTTCTCTAGGCCAAGGTCAAATAAACCCCAGGACCTTCTGCAGTCCCGAGGAAGGAAGGGGGTACACCGGGGTATGAATGCAGATGACAGAGGACTGGCCAGGCCATCCTGTTCCCACCTCTATGTGCCAGCGCCAACACTCACCCCTAGACTGCATGCGGCCCCCGAGGCCACAGCCGACCCCCTCCCACATGAACCCCGATCCCCGTCCTGGGAGACCAGAGGGCGGGACAGGAAGGGATAGGAATGCCAAAAAGTGCCCCCTCTGCTCTCCACGACCTTCCCCTTCCCAGCCCCACCCTCCAGAGGAGGGAAGCGCAGGCCCAGGAGGCTGGGCAGCACAGAGCAAGCACCTCAGGTGGGTGTTTCGGGGGGGAAACCTGTCCCCGCACCTGCCAGGCGGAAGGAGGGAGGTTGGATGGTTGGGGACAGGAGCGGCGGGCGAGCAGCACCCCTGAATATCAGGGGGCCGCTCCTCCTCTGCCCGCAGAGCACCCCCTGCCGCCCGCAGAGCTGCCCTCCGCCCGCAGAGCGCCCCCTGCCGGCTACACGTGCGTCTGCATGCGCTGCTGGAAGCGCTGCCCGAAGTCCGAGTGCTGCGACGTGTAGGAGAAGCGCGTGGCCGTGGCGAACTTGCCGATGGGGTCGTAGGCCTCGAAGGGGGTCCGCTCCAGGCCGGCGGGCGCCTGCGGGTAGCCCAGCCGGTAGGTGGGGTAGCCCGCGGCCCCGGGGAACGGGTGGGCGCCGAACTTGTCGTAGTTGTCGTAGGACAGCTGGCTGGCCGTGTCGGCGGCGGGCGCGGCGGGCGCGGGCTCGGGGAAGTCGGCGGCGGGCGCGCGGCCGTAGGAGCTGAGCTGCGCGTAGCCGCTCGAGTGCGAGAGGCGCGAGGCCGGGCGGCCGTCGAAGCGCGCGGGCCCGGGCGCGCGGTAGTCGGCGTAGAGCACCGTGCGCGAGGCCGGCCGGTCCTCGTGGGCGCGCACGTTGTAGTAGCCGTTGGTGGGGTCCTGGGCGGGGAGAGGGGCGGGTGAGGCCGTGCCCCCTGGTGGCGGGGTCCCACCTCGCTGTGGCCCCCCCTCGGGGCTTCCTGGGCTCGCCCCTGTGCTCCCAGCAAATACCTCCTGCCTCCTGGGCTCCTTCAGGCCTCCTGGCCTTCCCCCTCCCTCCCGACCTGCCCTCATCCTCAGCACCCAGGACCCTATGACACCCTCCCCACCCCCGTACCCCCCTCCCTCCCTCCCTGCCCTCCTTCCCATCCTCAGCACCCAGGACCCTACGACACCATCCCCCCCCACCCCCCTCTGCCCCTCCCTCCCCAACCTGCCCTCATCCTCAGCACCCAGGACCCTACGACACCATCCCCCCCCTAAACCCCCTCTGCCCCTCCCTCCAGACCTGCCCTCCTTCCCATCCTCAGCACCCAGGACCCTACAACACCACCCCCCATCCCCCTCTGCCCCTCCCTCCCAACCTCCCCTCCTTCCCATCCTCAGCACCCAGGACCCTACGACACCACCCCCCCACCGCCCTCTGCCCCTCCCTCCAGACCTGCCCTTTTTCCCATCCTCAGCACCCAGGACCCTAAGACACACCCCACCCCTCCCTCCCGACCTGCCCTCCTTCCCATCTCAGCACTCAGGACCCTATGACAGCCCCCCCCCCCCGTACCCCCTTCCCGCTTCCCACCTTCATTTCATACTCCTCCCGGGTGTCGAGGGTGTCACAGCGCAGATCCTGCTTCAAGTCCACGTCGTCCTTGAAGGACTGCAGAGCAGCAGGAGTGTGGGCCTTAGGAGTCCGCTCTTACCCCCACGCACCCCTCCCCACACCCTGAGGCCACCCTCAGTGGGAAAGGCCAGGTCCTGGGTGGGCTTGAGGCTGTGCCCCCTCCCAGCGAAGACTGGAGATGTGGTGGAGAGGCCAGGGACCTGGCCCTGGCACAGTTCTGTCCCTGACACACCACGTGACCAGGGCCGGGCCATTGCCCCTCTCAGGGATCCAGCCGTGAGGCAGTCAGATGTGAAAAGTCCCAGGGGTTTCCAGTTCTGACTCTGCAGGGAAAGGATGGGGCAGCCGAAATCGGCTTGGCTCATTGGATAGAGCGTCGACCTGCAGACTGAAAGGTCCCAGGTTCGATTCCGGTCAAGGGCATGTACCTTGGTTGCAGGCACATCCCCATTAGGGGGTGTGTGAGAGGCAGCTGGTCGATGTTTCTCATCAATGTTTCTATTATAGCTCTCTATCCCTCTCCCTTCCTCTCTATAAAAAGATCAATAAAATACATTAAAAAAAAAGAAAAAAGAAAAAAAAAGGATGGGACAAAGGAAGTCTAGGGGTGGCCCGCCTGCCCAGCCTCTGGTGGCGGGAAATCCGCCTGGAGGGCGTGTGAGCATGTTGTGAACATGCGTGAACATGTGTGCATATGCGTGTGTGCGGACCAAGGCTGGATTTGAACTCGGTGCCAGGGCTGTTGGAGGAGCTGACCGAAGGAGGAGCCAGGGACAGCGGTTATTGGAGAACGAAGGGAGGGAGGGGGCCAGGGCAGGGCGGGCCCTTACTGAGTAGATGGCTTTCATGACGCGGGTGGCCGTGGAGACGCTGGCGGTGTCGTCCTCCCGGTCAGAGTGCATGGTGAGCGGCTCCCGGTTCACGGTCTCCACCTTGATGTCCAGCTTCCTGAGGGTCACGTCCTTGCGACCTGGGACAGGGGAGACGGCCTGGGCGCTCACTGCCAGCCCCAAAGGGCTGGTTCCCGGACCCGCCTTGGCTGGGAAGCACAATGGCCACCCCCCGGGCCCCTGGGAGCGAGGTCCCGCCACTGGACTCGGGCCCCTGGGAGCGAGGCCGGCCGCCGGAGCCGGGGCGGGCGGGGAGGCCCTGCCCACGGCCATACTCACTGCCTTTGCGCCGCCGGTAGAGGAAGAACACGAGGGCGATGAGGGAGAAGGTGAGCAGGATGCCGGCCCCGATGGTGGCTCCCGCGATGATGCCCACAGGCAGCACCTCTGCAGACGGGAGAGGAGAGGGGGTAAGGACGGAGCCCGCCTCTCGGGCTCTGAGCTCTGTGCTGGCCGAGGACCAGGCTGGCCACAGCCGCAGTCCCCCTCCCCCCTTCCTCACCCCGGATTGTGCTCGGGTTGCTTTAGGACAAGGTGGGGTGGTAGAGGAAGGCCTGCATTGTGTGTGGGTTTGGGCCAGAGCTTACTCCTGATCAGAGTGGAGGGCGTGGTGATACCATATCCTAGCTGCTGGGGCATCCCCCCAACCCTGGCCTTGGTGGTCCGTCTGTCCCTCTCCTGTCCCACCTTCCTATGAGCCCTGGTCTCTCCCGCCTGGCTGGGCCGTGTGAGGTCAGCCGTCTCTAAACTCTCCCATCGGCTGCATGTGTTCCGACCTCTTTGCCACCTCAGCATCGCGAAGGCCCCCTGGGCACCCACCCACCCACCAGAACCCCAACAGCCCACCTTGTCTCCCCGCCTCCGGGGCTGAGAAGCACCTGGGACTCAGACGCCAGCTCTCTCTCTCCTGGAAGTCCTGGGTGGGTCATGGCCCCTCCCCTTCGGAGCCTGGCTTGGGGAGCTCTGCCTTACTCCTACTCTCTTCCTCCACCACCTCCTGGCGGGCACCCTCAGCTGAGAACTGATGGGTCCCGTTATTCCCATCTCCCATATCAAATGGCTAGTTATATATATGTGTGTGTGTGTGTGTGTGTGTGTGTGTGTTTATATGTAAAAAAGAATAACAGAGTAATATGCTAATTAGACCAGACGACTTCCCAGACAAAGCTTTGGCAATGCTGGGGGGCCGAGGCAGAGGCCTGCACTGGGGCCGAGCCCCTTGCAGGAATTTCGTGCATCAAGCCTCTAGTCCTTTCTAATAAAAGAGTAACATGCAAATTAACCATCACTCCAACACACACACACACACATACACACACAATGGCCTCCCCTATGTGGACCCAAGATGGCCACTACAAGATGGCCGGCAGGGGAGGGCAGTTGAGAGTGACCAGGCCTGCAAGGGAGGGCAGTTGGGTGGGGGGAGGGACCAGGCCTGCAGGGGAGGGCAGTTGAGGGGGACCTGGCCTGCAGGGGAGGGCAGTTAGGGGTGACTGGGCTAGCAGAGGAGCAGTTAGGTGTTGATCAGGCTGGTAAGGGAGTGGTGAAGGGATGATCAGGCTGGCAGGCACAAGCGTAAGGGTCAATCAGGCAGGCAGGCAGGTGAGCAGTTGGGAGCCAGCAGTCCCGGACTGTGAATCCTGGTGGGATTGGGCTTAAATGGGCAGTCGGACATCCCTCAAGGGGTCCCAGATGGGAGAGAGTGCAGGCAGGGCTAAGGGACACCCCACCCCCAGCCTGTGCATGAATTTTGTGCACCGGGCCTCTAATATATATATATAAAAGCCTTTTCCCTCTTCAGATGTGGGAACTTCCAAAAAAAGGCAAAGGTAATGTCTGCTATTATTATACTAGAAGTACCTCAGGGGGGGATGTGTCTCCCATCAGACTAAGGATCCTTGAAGAGGTGAGGAACCCGAACTCCTGGCCTCCGTCATGTGCCAGGCATTTAATGAACACTCTCGGGTAACCCTCACACCCTCCCAGTGAGGCAGGCCGCTCCCTTTCACAGATCACTCGCCATCTCTCCAGCAGAAGCCATTTGCTGCCACCGGCTAAGCCCTTCCACTAACCTGGGTCCCGAGGGCAGGGACCGCGTGCACATGGGTCCCTCAGCCCCTCGCACGGGGCCTGGCATGTAACAGACGCACAACAAACGTCTCAGAAAGTCAGTGGGTTTCCCCGCCGAGCAATAGGCCAGCTTCCGGTGGGGAGGCCCAGGCCGGGGGTCCCCCCGAGCGCAGCCCCGGAGAGAGGAGGGAGCGGGGCCCCAGGCGGTCACCTCGCTCCTCCAGCTGGATGATGGCGGTGCCCGGGCCGAAGCTGTTCCAGGCCGTGCAGTTGTAGTGGGTCTGGAAGTCGGCCTCCATGACGTTGTTGATGGTGAGCGTGGACAGCACGCCGCTGCCCGAGTTGGTCCTCTCCACCGTGTAGCGCTCCAGGGTGCCCACCTCCAGGAAGTTCTCCTTCCAGGCCCACGCCTGCGGGGGGGAGGGCGGGGGTGAGAGAGGGGCGGGAGGGAGGAGCACCTCACCTCCTGCAAGGCCTGTGCCCAGAGCGCCAGCGGCCCGGCCCCACACACCCCGCAGCGAGCCTGGTCACTCTCAGCCTCCGCCTCAGACCTGGGCACGGAGCCCCCAGTCCAGGAGAAGCAGCGGCTCCCACACACGACAGGCGTACGCCAGAGGCTCTCGGACACACGACAGGCGCACGCCAGAGGCTCTCGGACACACGACAGGCGCACGCCAGGGGCACTCGGACACATGACAGGCGCACGCCAGAGGCACTCGGACACACGGCAGGTGCACGCCAGAGGCACTCGGACACACGACAGGTGCACGCCAGAGGCTCTTGGACACATGACAGGCACACGCCAGAGGCACTCGGACACACGACAGGCGCACGCCAGAGGCTCTCGGACATAGCCAGGGACGCCCTTCGAAATGCCCGTTCCTGGGACTTATTTCCTAAATAGGAATCTCCCCCTCCCTTTTTTTTTTAATCCTCACCCAGGAATCTGTCCATGGATTTTTAGAGAGGGAAGAGAGAGAGAAACACTGGTGAGAGAGAGAAACTTCGATCGGTTGCCTCCCATGTGTCCCTACCAGGGATCAAACCCGTAAATTCTTTTTTAATTTTTTTAATATATTTTATTGATTTTTTTTACAGAGAGGAAGGGAGAGGGAGAGAGTTAGAAACATCAATGATGAGAGAGAACCATGGATCGGCTGACTCCTGCGCACTCCCTACTGGGATGTGCCTGCAACCCAGGCATGTGCCCTTGGCCGGAATCGAACCCAGGACCCTTCAGTCCGCAGGCCGGCGCTCTATCCATTGAGCCAAACCGGTTAGGGCAAACCCGTAAACTCTTGGTGTGCGGGCCAACGCTCCACCCGACTGAGCCACCAGCCAGGGCGGAGCCTGTTTATAAGGGTCCCTGTGGTGTGTGTGACGTGGGCGCACGGGTTGGGAACCCCTGATGTTGCAGATAAAGCCCTGGGGGGGTAGGGGGAGCGGGGGTCAAGAACACGGTGCTCCCTTCGAGTCCCGGTGTGGCCTCCCTCCCCTCTCCGGGCTGTTCCTCACCTGGGAAGGGAGAGGACCGGACTGGAAAACACTCCACATTCGCCAGTCGTCAGTCCCACCCTAACCAGACCCAGCAGCACGCTAACCTGCTGCCGCCGTGGGAGACGCAGCCACAGACGCTCATGATGGCCCAGAGCTGCCACAGGAGAGGGGGTCCGGGCTCCCCCCCCCCCAGCTCCCGGAGGGCAGCCCCCGTGCGTCCCCTCCCCCGAGGAGGGCGTGAAGGTGGTGTGGCTGAGAACCGGCCCCCGGGAGCGGGGCACTCCGGCTCGGCAGCCGTGGTAATGAAGTGTCCCTGGGCAGCCCTGCAGGCAGCCAAATGGTTATTAAATGTGATGAGGGGTTTGACGGTTAATGGCCACGGCAGGAATTAATGGCTCGTGGTGTGGGGAAGAGGAGAGAGGAGGGGAGGGGGTGGTGCAGGAGCCGGTGCAGAGCCAAGGAGAAGGGAGGGGAATGGCTGTGGGCCGGGGCGGGAAGGAGAGCTGCTGGGCAGGGCTGAAGGGAGAGGAAGAGGAGGGAGCAAGGAAAGATCAGGAAGAAAGGAAGGAGGGGAGGGAGGAGAGCAAGAGTGGCTCAGTGGTTGAGCACTGACCTATGAACCAGCAGGTTATAGGTTCGATTCCCAGCAGGGCACATGCAAGATGCAGGCTCGATCCCTAGTGTGAGGTGGGCAGGAGGCAACCGATCAATGATTCTCTCTCATCGTTGATGTTTCCATGTCCTTCTCTCTTTCTGAAATCCACTAAAAACTGACAGTGAACCTCTCGCGGTCGCCCCCTGGCCTTCCACCCCTGCTGCTCCTGCTGCTTGTCACGTGCTCCGTGTTAGGGTGACACTGAGGGTCAAACACTGAGGAGCAAAGCAATTTGCTCAGGGTCACACACGTCAGAGGTGGTGGGACAGAGCGAGGAAAGGGACGGAGGGACTGAAGTTGGAGGATCGGAAGCAGAGGAGTAGGAGCAGGACAGAGAGCGGAGGAGACTGAGCGAGCAGAGAGCAGGCGCCCACTGCCCACTGCCCACTGCCCACTGCCCACGCCCCGGGGGGGCGCCCACACTCACAATGCGATCTGGGGGGGGCGTGCTCCCGATGAAGCACTCCACCTTGCCGCCGTCCCCCCGCACGGCGTACTGCACGGCCTCGCTGGAGATAATGGGGGGCCCTGGGAGCAGAAGGCGCAGTCAGGGTCCAGGCCAGCGCCTGCCCCCCAGGCCCAGGCCCTGTCCCCCCCCAGGCCCAGCCCTGCCCCCCCCCCAGCCCCAGCCCTGCCTCCCCCAGGCCCAGCCCTGCTCCCCCCAGGCCAAGCCCTGACCCCCCCTGCCCCAGCCCTGCCCCCGCGCCATGGCCCAGCCCTGGCCCCCCCAGGCCCAGCCCCGCCCCCCAGACCCAGGCCCCGCCCCCAGGCCCTGCCCCCCCCGCCCAGCCCTGCCCCCCCCCCAGGCCCAGCCCAGCCCCCAGGCCCAGCCCCGCCCCTCGGGCCGCTCACCATTGACGTAGAGCGGCACCTCCCGCTCGGCCACTCCGATGCGGGGCACGATGGCCCGGCAGGTGTAGGTGCCGGCGTCCGCCTGGGTCACCGACTTCAGCAGCAGCTGGTTGCTGTTGCTCAGGACCTGGGCAGAGAGAGCAGCCTCGGGTGGGGAGCCAGGAGGCCTGGGCCCCTAGGTCCGGGGCCCGCATTGGACGTAGTGGAGAGAAAGCAGGAAGGGCCACAGGTGAATGCCCAGCAGGGAGACGGGGCCAGGAGTCAGTCTGGTCCCTCCCCCAGCTCTAACCAGGCTGGCGTTCAACACCAGCTCGCACGGGTGGACGGCGGCAGGTGGCCGGAGAATGAGGTCACCGAGGAGACCGCCTCCCGGATGACCTGACAGTTCCACCCTGAAGTCCCTCTTCTGCCCAAACCGTTCAGTCCGGTCTCTGGAGGGCTGTGAATTCAGCCTTTCCCCCCTCGTGACCTCTCCAGCCCCACCTTCCGATGCGGCACTCACCACATCCCCCCCAGCCCACAGCCTGTCTCAGGCCCGCCCCCTCCACACACACACACACACACACACACACACACACGCACACGCCAGCACGCCCTCCCCTGGAGGAGGGGTGGGGGTCATCGCAGGAACCGGCCTTGTCCTCTCAGTCTCAATTTCTTAGAAATATCCCAAGTTCAACTTGAAAACTCATGCCGGCCCTCCCTCGACAGCTCCGTCCTCCCAGCACCGGGAGGAGCGGTCAGGGGCTTACCATGTTGGAGTCCTTCTTGGTCCAGGTGAGGGTGAGGGGGGGATTCCCAACCCAGACACAGGTGAGCGTCACGTCAGAGCCAATGTCCGTCGTCGTAGGTTTAGGGTCAACCACAATCCGGGGGGCGACTGAGGTGGAGGCAGCGGGTCGTTAGGGTCTCGTGTCACGGGGTGAGCTCCCCTCAGCCTCCTCCTCTCCTTTCTCCTGCCCTGCCACCTGCCTGCGTTTCTTCCCTACCTCCTCAGCTTCATGGAGCCTCCCAGCTCCACCCAGGCTCCGCCCCATGTCCCACCCCTCCCTCCGCCCCGTGTCCCACCCCTGCCCCTGCCCCTGCCCTTGCAGCCACTCACAATGGACATTCACCAAAGTGCTGACATTGGTGCTGCCCACTTTGTTGTAAACCTCACAGGACACAGGCTCCGTGAAGAAGGAATAGTCGACATTCGTCTCATAGCGACTCTCGTGGGCATCTTCAATGGAGAAGCCGCCCTTGGCCCATCTGGGGGAAGAGACAGCACGGGGGGTGGGAGGGTGGGGGGTGGGGGAGGAGAGGTTAGGAGCCTCTCACCACCCCCAGCGGCACGGCCCTCCCCCGGGTGCCCACGCCCTGCGCCGCACACCTGTAGCCCAGGATCTCGGGGTTGGCTGTGGCCTGGCACGTAAAGACAACGCGTTCGCCCTCCTGCACCGTCTGTGGCTCGATGGACAGGGTCACCGTGGGAGGGTCTGCAAAGCAGCGGACGCGAAGTCAGGGCCTTTTCTGTTCCCAGGTTTCCGTCTCCCTCCCCGGCACATCCCCTCGGGCACCGTGCACAGTGGCCTGGGAGTCTGCGTTTGCAGGGTACCCGCTCCAATAAATACCCCTGTCTCCATCTTTACCCACAGCCCGCCGCGGACTCTAGGGGGCCATCTGGAGTGACCACCAAGGATGATGCCAAAGGGACAGATTAGCCAATGGGTGTAAAGGCCAGCGGTGGCCACTAGATGTCAGCGTGGGCCCCCCTGGCTCATTAAGAGGGCTCGGGGCGGGGCATTTCTCTATGGCTGCCCAGATCCAACCCTACCCAGGGCAGAGGTCATTCATGGAGCACATACCAGCTGGCAGACTCCACGCTAGAAGCTCTTACACTATACCTCACTGAATGCTCACAACCCTGAGAAGCGGCACAGGTCCACATTCCTTATCTGAAACCGCTGAAACTGTGTGTTTCAGAACTGAGAATTTTTCAAATCTTAGAAAGGTAACAGTGTGCATGGACTGTTTACCACGCAAGGCCTCCAGCAGGTCCGGCAACACCCGTGGCCACCTACACTAATCCCTCTGCAGCGAAACCCATGGCTGTTCCGAGTAAGACTGCGAAGAGCCTCGGTTGAGGTTTCGGATAACGAATCTTATCCAAAATCTGTTAGTTTGTGGAGTTTTGGGTAAGGAATTGTATGCCTGCATTTGTTTTCTGCAGGCATACAGAATTGGAAACTGAGGCACGGGGAGATTACATCATTGCCCAAAACTACACTCTGGTTTAGACCCAGGAACGGCTCGACTCCTCGCTGATGCCTTTTCACCAGTCCCCAGCGCCCCTGGGTCAAATCTGGGAGCCGGCACAAAGGCAGACAGTGAGCCTGTCCTGGGCCCTCGGAGGATTCTGCTGACTCCTCTGCAGTGCTCACATCTCCCCTCTCTGCCCTCCCCGACCCTGCTCTCCCCTCTCTCCCCGTCCCCCCCTCACACACCCCCTCCCCTCCGGCCCCAGCTCACGGTGCACATCCAGCTCGATGGAGGTCTCCCTGCCGCTGGGGACGGCCTCGTTGGCGCTGCGGCAGGTGAAGACGCGCCCGATGTCCAGGTCCGTGGGGTTGATGAGCAGCTGGCTGACGGTGGTCTCCCGCTTCCCGTCCTTCAGCAGCTCCTGGGGGGGCCGGGGGGGGCGGCGTCAGGCTGAGAGCCCCTCCCTACTCTCAGGAGGGCGGACTCAGCTCACCCCGTCCCCAGCCCCCACCTCTCCTTGGGTTTTGTTTTGTCTTTAATTGGTAGATTTCGTTTTTTTAGAAAAGTTTCAAATTTACCAAAAACAAATTTTTTTGAAAGAGCATGCCCATGTGCCCTCCTCCCTCACCCCAGTTTCCCTGTTATTAACATGACCCTTTAGTGTGATCTGTGTGTCACAGCCAATATTGACACGTCACACTAACTCATGTCCATCGTTTAACCAGAGCCAATTCTGTGTGCTGCACACTCCGCCTCACGGTTGTGGTGGAGCTTGATTCCTGGAATTCTCTGAGTCCAGCTCTAATCCCTCCTCTTCTGCTAAGTCTTCCTCGGCCACCTCAGCCCCCAGGACTCTCCGGGCCTGAACCTGTGCCCCCCGCAGACAGTCTGTCCTGCGCGCTGCTCTGGGCACGTTCTGCCCTGCCCTTGGGCACTGGGCTGGAGTGTTTCCGAGTTGGGTCTCTCCTGCTGGTCCATGAACCCCTTGAGGGCAGGGAATGAGCTCACAGGCCCTAAGCCTCACACCCATCAGACCGACTCTGAGGCTCAGAGCCCTGGGGCTGTCCTACTGCAGGCTGCTCAAGGCATGCCAGGCCAGGAGCCGAAGCTACACACCCCTCTCCTGGGGCTGCCCTGCGGCCTGGCAGAGCCAGGTCTCTCATGAATGTCAAGGAGGGGGGCCGACCAAATGCCACTAACAAGTCAGCTTGCTTGGTTGCCAAAGTATTTCACAGCATGGAGCCCAGAAGGAGGAAAGGAACAGAGTTCTTGGTGGCGAAAGCGTTAAGCACCACCCAGGCCAAATTCTCATTTGTCAAAAGGTGAGCCTGAGGCCAAGGAGAGGTGAGCTGCCCAAGGTGTCAGGGGCAGAGCTAACCCTGCTCGCCCTGGGGCCGGTCTCACTCACAGGCACACTGAGTGTGTCTCCGCGGGCGGTGTCTGCTGCCGCGCCTGGCAAAGGGCTGGGCACACACATGCTTGCCAGCAGCTGCAGAAGGGACTCCGAACAGGAGATCCCCGAGAACTCTGCCCGGTGATCCCGGGCAAGTCGCTCGTTGCCTCTCTCGCCACAGGCTCAGCCCTGAAGCGGACAGGGTGTCCCTGCCTCCTCAGCCTGAGCCAGCCAGAGGCTGGGAAGGAGGTGGAGGGGCAGGGCAGGCAGAGCTCTGCCGCACGCCAGCTGTGTGGCCTGGGGCAAGGCTCTCCACCTCTGACCATCAGCGTCCTTGCTGTGAGCTAGACAGAACACCTAACTCCTGAAACTCCTGGGAGGGCCAGAATCGCTGTCCACAGAGAGCCAGCATCCACATGCCCACACAGAGGGAGTGTTTCCTGGCGTCGCTGTTCTGACCACTGTTCGTGGTCTCTGCTCAGAATGGCACCATGAACCTGGGAACTCGTTTCTCTTCTCTGGGCCTCTGTGTTCCCAATCACATAACAACACGGTTGGCCCAGATGACCCTTAAGACCCCTTCCCTGTCTGCATCCGCGTCAGCCCCAGGAGGGACAGGTGACCTGGGAGGAGGCCCGGGAGGGGGTGGGAGCGTGCGGGTCTCACCGTGCTGGCCACGGCGCCCTCCTGCTGCGCCCCGTCCCGGAACCAGGTGATGGTGGCCGCGGGCTTGGCACTGAAGGCGCGGCAGGTGAGGTTGTGGGGGATGCCCGCTTGCAGCAGAAGCACGGGGCCCCCGTCGATCCTGGTGTCCTCCGGGGGGACTGCGGGAGAGAGCGGAGCCGTCAGGCCAGGGGCCGGCACTGCCCTGACGGCCAAACCCCTGCCCCGGAGGCATCCCTCTCCTGGTGCGTCCGGCCTGGGGGAGGCGGTGCCACGGGCACCCCCAAAATGGTGGTCACTCCACCGGTGCCTTCCTGTGGCTTCACCCAAGGCCCTCCCTCTGCTTACAGCTTCCTCCCCTCCTTCAGCCATTCTTACAGCCTGGGCCGTATTCTGATACCATATCTGCCATTCTCAAGGCTACGTACAGATGAGGGGAGTGGCCTCAAGTCAGGAAAGCGCGGGGCTAGCTCAGGGTTTGAGTCCAGCTCCTATGGATGGGGGGTGGGGGGGTGGGCAGAAAGAAGGGTAGTGGTGGCCTGGCACAGAAAGATGCCACCTCTCACCTCTGCATTTTCTTCCTTCTGTCCATTCCCCGCTATCTGTTCTTCTGCCCTGGGGCAGCCAGAGGGGGAGTCTGCTACAGCAGGTCCCCAGTGGCTCCTGACTCCGTCCCTGTGGCTCTGGCCCATTCATCACAGCCGGCAGGTCACTCCCTCCCAAGTCTGGGCCCCTCCTGAGGTCCAGCACCTCAGCCTGCTGCTCAGGGCTCCTCCTGCTCACGTCCTCATCTCTCGCTCCTTTCCTTCCTGCTGAAGGGCTACCCATCCTGACTGTATCCTTCCTGCCGCACAAGGCCTTTCCCCTGCCCCCCACCATCACCTCGTGGTCTGCGGCAGCCACCCAGAGCCCCTCCCACCAGGCCCCTGTGCTTGGGTCACCGATGTTGACTATCCACACTCCACCCACCAGGATCCTTATTCCCAGGAAAGCAGAGCCAGTCTCACTGATGCTCACAGCTCCGTGCCCAGCATGTGCTGAAGCAGGCTCTCATTAAGTGCTTCAGACACAGATGCAGGCAATCGGGGACCCCCCTCCCGGTGCTGTCCCCACAGCCCTCCACCTGCTCAGGTGAATGGGCCCACAATCCTGCGGGCAGGGACTGCTGCTGCTTTTGTCTTACAGCCGAGCTGGGTGGTGGGCAGGTGCTGGGGCCGTTCCCTGAGTCACTGAGTACGCTACTGACGAGAGACAGGCGGACACATTTTGATCACAACCTTTCTGGTCCACCTGGTGCTCACGGGGCCAGAAACGCAAAGGGTTTGCTTGTCGTTTGCTGGGAAAGACTCGGAGGGGCTGAGGGAACTGGAGTCAGGGCTGGGCGGGACGACAGTTTAGGGACCGCTGGTCCCCGGGCCACAGCTCCAGCAGAGGAGTCTGTCCCAGAGCCCTCCCCCTCGCGCATGCAGAGCGGCAGAGGGAGAGCACGGAGAACCCGCTGCCCGGTCCTGACCCTGGCGCCTCTGTTACTTCTCTCACAATCTCAGGTGAGCCACTCAGTCACTGAGCCTCCGTTTCTTCAGCAGAGACATGGCAGGCCTGCTCTGGGGCCGCACGGAGGTCATGGGGCCCTGGGTGTGGGCTGGGCTGTGCGGGGCCCGGGAGTCCGGGTACCTGTTCGTTTTACTGGGTAGCCCAGTGGTCAGCAAACTCATTCGTCCACAGAGCCAGATAGCAACAGTACAACGATTGGAATTTCTTTGGAGAGCCACATTTTTTAAACGTCAGCTTCTTCTAACGCCACTTCTTCAGCATAGACCGGCCCAGGCCGCGGTATTTTGTGGAAGAGCCACACTCAAGGGGCCAAAGAGCCGCGGGTGGCTCTCGAGCCGCAGTTTGCCGACCACGGGGCTAGCGAGTCACCCACGGACTGCCTGGCTTCTCCTCTTTGCTCTGTGGGGTACCCGGGCCCCGTGCTGGATGGGGGCAGATTGGGAAACGGTGGAAGAGGAAAGTGGGCAGACAGACAGAGAGCTGCCACTCAGGGTCTCCTGCTCCGCCTGGGCCCGCGCAGGACACACCGGCCATCATGTCCCGGAGGGAGGTGCTGGCTGCGCCCAGGCCCTGGCGTCCGGGGTGTGGGCCAGGGGGTGAGGGACACTCCAGACACAGGAGCCCCTCCTGTGAGCGGCTTCTCTTCCCCCCGGCTCTCCCTCCCCCCCTGCATCAGGGGCCCTTCGGGAAGATGGCCCATTTGGCACCTGCCACTCGCCCACCTTTCCCTGCGAATCTGGGGCCAAGAGAAAGAGATTGTGAACGTGTATGATCAGCCCTCGGCGAGACAGCACCTGTCTGTTTACGAATAGTTTTTATGATGCGTGACCAATTTGCATATCCATGTGTACGTGTCGGTGGCCTCAGTTTCCTTGTCTGTATAATTGAAAAAAGAACATTCTGCCCTGGCTGGTGTGGCTCCGTGGGCTGAGCGTTGCCTGTGCACCAAAGGGGTCGCAGGTTCGAGTCCGGTCAGGGCACCAGAAACAAAAGAACTCTGACACCTACTCCCTGGGGCTGTTAGCGGGAAGGGAAGTGAGGTCTGAGGTCAGGAATGTGACGGCCTCGGGGAACACGGCCATCTCCACTGAGTGCTCATCAGGGGTCACAGTGCCTCGTGCATATGATGTCACTGAACCCTCATTAATGACACACGTATGTCATTACTCCTCTCATGGCAAATGCCACGACTCCCAAGCTACAGAGGAGGTGCGGAGGCTCAGGGAGGTGAGCAGAGGTCTGAGCTGGAGGGCCGGGCCCGCTGAGCCCGTCACGGTGTGAAGGAGGAGGAGGAGGAGGTAGGTCTGCGGATGGAGGTGATGTCGTGTCTGTCTGCCTTCAGGGCGTGGAAGGCAGCTTTCAAAGCCTCACTGCGGGAAGGCAAAAAGGCCATCCGTGAAGAGGCAGCCTGGATGGGGCTGGAGGAGAGAGCACGGAGGGGCCTGGCTGCTGACGGGGGGGGCTGGAGGCCAGCCCCGGGCAGGGAGGCTGGTCCCGGGCACGGGACACCGTCCACACCTGACCCCGTCCCGCCCCCTGTCCGGGCCCCAGGTTGCCAGGAGCAGAAGCTGCGTCTACGCAGGTCAGCGGGGAAGGACGTGAGGAATGTCCTGCCTTCTCGTCGCCTCCCTGAGACCCGGGCGGGCAGGTAGTTTGAGAATTGGAGAGAGACAAGGAGGGAAAGGAAGCGGTCAGACTAACCTTTCCCCTTTATGCCTGGGGCCTGTTCCTGCTCGCCTCCCCTGCCCAAGTCGCCCAGATGGCTACAAAGGTCCACACCCTCAGCACCAGCCCTGCCCTCCCCACAGGCCAGTCCGCTCTCCCACTCATGTGCCTCACTGGCTTGCAAGCTTTTTAACAAGTGATTCCCCCCTGCAGGGCTCTCGTTTATAGTCTCCTCTTCCAGGAAGCCTTCCTGGATTGAACCAAGCCTCTGGATACCAAGGGAAGTCCTGGCCCTGCCATGTCTAGGGGTTTGGTTGGCCTTTCTTCATCTGTCTTTATTCCTGTAGTGCTCGGGTAGGGAGGGAAAGGGAAGGGAGGTAATCAGACCTTCTAATTGGGACGGGAGCTCTCCGGGACACCTGTGCCAGCACCTAACACAGGCGTCAGAGAGGGGAACAGAAGCCCAAATCCCCCTGGAATGCCTGCTCCAGCGTGGGGCTCACACCCTCTAACCAGGGATGGAAGATGGCGTCTCATCTTCCCACGCCCACCCCTGGCGGCCGACTAACGCCGGCCCCCAATCTCAGGCCTGCCCCTCGCGCATTCTCCCCACTCCGTCCTCTCCAGAGAGGAAAAGCAAGTCCCCCGCCACCGTCCTTCAGTCCTGATCCTGCAGGGCCTCTGCAGCCAACAGTCCCGGCTGTGGGCTTCCTCTCCGGTTCGCCCAGACCCCACGCTCACAGCTCCTAAGAAAACTACCGTCTTGCCAGGACCAGTTAGGCTCAGTGGATGGAGCGTCAGCCTGTGGACCAAAGGGTCCCGGGTTCGATTCCAGTCAGGGGCAATGTACATTGGTTGCGGGTACATCCCTGGTGGGGGGTGTGCAGGAGGCAGCTGGTCGGTGTTTCTCTCTCATCGATGTTTCTAGCTCTCTCCCTCTCTCCCTTCCTCTCTGTGAAAAATCAATAAAATATATTTTAAAAAAAGAAAAAAGGAAAGAAAAAGAAAGAAAGAAAACTACTGTCCAGAGGTTGTGACCTCTCCTGACGCTCGGTGCAGAAAACGGCCCAGATCTCCTGACCCCCTCCGGGGGCTCTGCCTGCCATACTCAAAGGATTCGCAAGCCTCCCCCAACCCCGGGAAAAGCTTCCTGGTGTTCGAGCTCGCTCCTCTGCTCCTCTCCTCACTGCCTCCTTCCTCCTACCCTCCTGGGCCTTCCGACTTCAATGAGCTCTGGTTAGAGGAGGGAGGAGAGGGAGCGGGCAGATCAAACAGAGGCAGGCGGAAGGGAGGGGCCGGCGGAATACAAAGAGGAAGACAGAGGGAGGGTCGGAGGGTCGCAGGCAGGTGGGAAGGAGAGGCAGAGACAGAAACACGAGAGGCGGAGGCCCAGGGAGAGCCACGGAGCGTGAGGGAACAGAAAGATGGTGGGGCCGGAGGTCCTGAAAGAGAAGCCGGGCATGGCCCGGCCGGTGTGGCTCAGTGGATAGAGCGTCGGCCTGCGGACTGAGCGGTCCCAGGTTCCATTCCGGCCAAGGCCACATACCCAGGTTGCGGGCTCAATCCCCAGTAGGGGATGAGCAGGAGACAGCCGATCAATGAATGATTCTTATCATTGATTCTTCTCTTTCTCCCTCTTCCTTCCTGTCTGAAATCAATAAATATATAATTTTTTAAAAAGAGAGGCCGGCAGTGGAGCAGGACACTCTGGCCCTGAGTGGGGAGAGGCCCATCAGCATGGAAATGGCCCTGCAGCTGCTGCAGAAGGGCATGGGCTGTGGCTCGGGGGTGGAGGCTGAGAGCCAGTGCCTCCGCCAGGGCCCTCCAGGCCTGCTCCCCTGCTGCCCGAGGAGGCCCCAGGGGACAAGAGGAGGAAGGTGAGCGCTGAGGGCAGAGAGGAGGCGGAGAAGGGGAGGAAGGGCTGAGTGCGCTGAGCAGGAGCAAAGGGGCAGTTTCTGGGGTCGGAGACAGCGGAGTGGGAGAGAATGGGAGGAGCTCCCTCTGCCGGGAGAGGTGGGGAGAACAGCCTGGGCACAGGATGCCAGACCCCACACGCAACAGGTCCCCCCAGGAGCTGCCATGCCCCATTCCACTTTCTTTTTTTAAAATTTTTTTAAAATATATATTTTATTGATTTTATACAGAGAGGGAGGGAGAGAGATAGAGAGCTAGAAACGTCGATGAGAGAGAAACATCGACCAGCTGCCTCTTGCACACCCCCCACCGGGGATGTGCCCGCAACCAAGGTACATGCCCTTGACCGGAATCGAACCCGGGACCTTTCAGTCCGCAGACCAACGCTCTACCGCTGAGCCAAACCAGTTTCGGCCCATTCCACTTTCTCCAACCTGGATCTGGCTTCAAGAGAGGCTGGAAGAACGCCCTAGCTGGTGTGGCTCAGTGGATAGAGCGCTGGCCTGCGGCCTGAAGGGTCCTGGGTTCGATTCCAGTGAAGGACACATGCCCAGAAGGGGGCGTGCAGGCGGCAGCCGATCCATGGTTCTCAGTCATCATTGATGTTTCTCTCTCCCTCTCCCTTCCTCTCTGAAATCAGTAAAAATATATCAATCAGAAGAAAAGAAGTTGAGAGAAGAAGATGGAAGGGAAGGCTAGTGGGAGAGGGACAGGGGGCAGGCGTGGGAGCAGGGGAGAAGGGAGGTAAGGGGGAGCAGGGGAAGCGGAGGGACTGCCGGATGCCCCGAGGGAGACAGGAGGGCTGTGGGCACGGAGGGGGGCATTACTGAGCACAGTGAGCTTGGCCCGCCGGGAGCGCAGGGCGGCCTCCGTCGCCTGGCACTCGTACGAGGCGTCGTCAGAGAGCTCGGCATCCGTGATCTCCAGGTTGTACTGGCCGGCGTCCGCGGAGCCCACGACCCGGTACCGCGGCCAGGCTGCAGGGACAGAGAGGGGCGCCCAGCGTGAGCCCACCCCACTGGGAGCCGCCTGAATGACCCCGCACATCCTCCCCCACTTCTCACCCCACCAGGGCCCGCACCCCCCACCCCCCCGCCCTCTCCTGAGAACCCACCTCAGCGGATAGGGATGTGGATGCCGTGACGTCATAACCCCCACAGGGAGGCGGGGGCCGTGACGCAGGAGGAGGAGGGGCAGGTGGAGACGGGAGGTGCGGGGTGGGGGAAAGGAGAGCAAATCTCTAAAGCAGTTTGCAGAAAATGATCCCTCGTAATAATAGGAAAGAGAAAACAATAACTGACCACAGAAAGAGGAGGAAGAGAGGGGGGATGTGGGGCATTGCAGCACAGACATGAGCTCACCCTCACCTGCCCAGGGAGGGATGGAGAGGCAGGTCCCCCAGCTCCTGCGGAGCCCCGAAACCCAAGACCCTGTTCCCTAAAGGAGCCGTAGTTGGGGGAAGAGAGGGGCCTCAGAGAGTCAGGCTCTGTGATTCTGGTCTCCTTTGCTACTGCCCAGCCCCTCTGTCTCCTGCCCCCCCGCCTCCTGCACTCCCCCCCCAGCTCCCTCCCACTCTCTCCCTCTGTCCTGAGGCCATTGATTCTTCTCACTCCATACCCATTGATCTCTTTCTCTCCGTTTCTTTACCTTCCTATCATCAATAGATCCACCAGACCTATCTCTTCCCTTAATCAGATTGCTTTATACACACAAACCTCCCACCTGCATTAACACCCACCCACAGCGACACCCACAGCCAGCCATCTCCCCCCTCGACAATGACTAACACGCAGTCCCTCCCAGGGGTCAGTTGTCACACGGCTGTGTGATGAGTGGCGTGCTTTCACAAAGCACATTCTCATCTGGTTCGAAACCCTCACATGCACTTATAAGGCGGGCAGGCCTAGGACTGTTACACGCTTTACCCGGTGGCCGGCGGCCAGGGAGGTGCGGGGACCTCCCTGAGGCCGCCCAGCAGGAGGGGACAGGAGAGCACCAGCACCTGGGGCTGGACCCGCAGCTCCTCTGCCAGGCGGCCGCTCAGAGAATCGGCTGACTTTGGAATTCAGGGGGTTGCGTTTTGGTTTATTTATTTGTCTGTTTATTTAACTTATTACCAACTCATATTTGCTTCAGCACTGGCTCCGGGGCGCTTAATAAAAGCTTGTTGAATAAATAGATAAATAAACAAGTGCTTCAGGCTGATATTAGAGTGTGTTTTCAACCTCTGAGCAGACATTGCTAGGCGGGGGCGGGGGCAAAGCCAGTGGCATAAACTGGCCTCTCTCCTGCTCTGCAGGGAACGCCCGCAGCACCTCCTGCTTCCCCTCCTTCTGCCTGAAGCAGCTCTCCCGGTGTCTGTCTGTCTGTCTGTCTGGCCTCTTTTGCATGAAGATCTCCCGGTTTCCTTTGGTCTCTCACTGCCTTTCTGAGCGAGTCCACAGGAAGAACCAAAGAGGAGCAGGGTTTGGGTAAAGCTGGCTGGGAGGAGAGGAGAGAGCCCGGCCACACCCCCGGGAAGAGCCTGGAGCAGAGGGGAGGCCGAGACCGGCCGGAGTCTGGAGGGGGGGAAGGGGGGACAGAGGAAGGGCGGTGGGTCCACAGATGGGATCGCCTGGATGGGGACTAGCTGGGTGACCCCACTCACCTTTGAGCCCCTGGCCCATGCCCAGTGCCAGCCCGTCCTTGGTCCATTGCACGATCCCCGAGTAGTTGAGCAGCACGCAGGGGAGCACAGCCCGCTGTCCGGCCACCACGGTCTGGTCGGCTGGCTCCTGGCTGAAGCGCGTCTGGGTCCCTGGCAAAGCCAAAGGCGGCACCGGGTAAGGAGATGCGAGGGGAGAGAGGCGCCAGCCGGAGGCAGCCATTCCCGGCTCCTGCTCCGCCCTGCATCGGCTGGAGAGAGAGGAGGCCTGGGCCAGGGCCCTCCCGTCCGCCCACTTCAGCCCAGCGCCCTCCCTGCAGAATGTCACACGCTCACCCCGATCCCTCCCTCCCTCCGAGGTCCTGGAACGGAACGGTGTCAGGAGCCGAAGGGCTCAGCAACCATAGGAAATGGCAAAGGCCCGGAGGCGGGGCTCCAAGCCCTCCCAGCTGGCAGGTGAGGACACGGAGGCCTAACCCAGGCCACCCGGTGGATTAAAGGCAGAGCGGGGATTCGAACCGGAGCCGCAGAGCTCCAGGCCCCGGCTCTTCTCTCGTGCTGCCCCTCCCTTGGCACCCGTGTCAGTCAGCACGGGCTCACAGTGCTTCATGAAGGCGTATTGAATAAATAACTAAGTTCTCAGGCTGATGTTATAATGGGCTTGGCCTCTGAGCATACACTGCTGGGCGGGAGGCAGAGAGGCTGGAGCAAAGGAGGCAGAAAGCACATTCCAACTCCAGGAAGCCCGCGCCAACGCTGCCCAGGACGCCGCGGCCCCCTTAGTCCCAAGGCCGGAACGTACCATCCACCCAGCTTGCACACGCCCTGTGTGAGCCAGGGTCCGGGAACACACACGTGCAACCGTGTGGGCCCGCTCCCTGTGAGTGCACCCAGCCAGTGCCGAGGGCAGCTTCTCGGGGGCAGGTGGGTGTATGTGGGCACAGCGGCCGGGTGGCTGTCTTGACCCTCTTCGTGGCACCCGCCCCGCCCTGTGTGCGGAGCCCGGCTCTGTGGGGGCTGCATCCAGCCACCCCGCTGGCCGCCGGGCCGGGAGCACTGGGTGAGAAGGCCGCAGAGTCACTGCCTTTCACTGTGGGGCCCGAGTGGAGCAGGGAACTGGACGGCGGTTCCTCCTCCCCACCCCTCCCTGCTCCCGCCTGCCACTCGCCTGTCCAGTCCTATGGTGGGCAGCCCCGGGCAAGGCGCACGGCCTCGGGGCAGAGCCTCAGCTCCCGCATGTGCAGGGCTGTGGGGAGGAGGGCAGAGATGGAGGGGCTGCGGGACAGCGAGGGAGAGGTCTGCAGCATCCTACCACGCCCGAATCTGCCACACAGCGGTACCCCAACCAACTTCCCCAGGCCTCCTTCCCCTTCTTTCCCTCTGTAGCCCCCACGTCTTCACAGAGACCCCCCATCCCAAATCCAACTGTTTCCAAACTTAAGTTTTCCAAAATGTCTCAGAGTCTCCGTTATTCTGGGTATAAGGAAGCAGACGAAACCCGCCCCTCCCCATTCCAAGACGTCCCTGTAAGTAAAGACAGGATCCTTGTCTTGTCCCCCTCTCCTTTCCTCCTCCAGCTTCCTGTCTCCCCTTCTTTCCAAACCTGCTTCCGCTTCCAGGAAGACCTCCAGGATTGGTCCCTGAGCTCCCTGGGCAAACACAGCTTGTCCCTGGAATCTCAGGTAGTCAGTCTGTGCCCCTGCTTGTGTTTGCCAAGGGACACAGGGCAATGGGTGGGTGAGGTGTCTGCCCTCCCTGATTTTTTTGTTTTTGTTTTCTTAAATATATTTTATTGATTTTTTACAGAGAGAAAGAGAGAGGGATAGAGAGTCAGAAACATCGATGAGAGAGAAACATCGATCAGCTGCCTCTTGCACACCCTTCACTGGGGATGTGCCCGCAACCAAGGTACATGCCCTGGACCGGAATTGAACCCGGGACCTTTCCGTCCGCAGGCCAACGCTCTATCCACTGAGCCAAACCGGTTTCGGCTGCCCTCACTGTTTACCGGAAATGAGAACCTCTATTCAAGGCCAAGGGCTGTGGCATCTTTCTCCTCTGAATTTCCCTGCATGTTTGACATCCAAATCGGTGCTGCGCGTAGAGGGGCCACGAAGAGGGGGCGGGGCCAGGCGTGACGGATGGCCAGCTTGTGATGGAATGCACAGAGCAGCATCTTTTGGGTAAGCGTGCAAACCCGGCTCTCCGGGTCTGCAGGGGATCAGGGAGTGGGACACAGGGCTCCTCCCCCATCCCGCCAGCAGCTCCCCAACTCTGCTGACCTGGCAGTCCGCCCGTGTCTGCCAAAGCGGGGAAGGATGGGCTCGCCCGTGTTTCCAGGGGAGGAGGTGGGTCAGGTGAGCCGCCAGCATTATTAATTCAGGCACTGTCCTCATTATTATTTAAATTTATTCATATCATTGCGCATTTCTCTAGTGTAGCTTCACGCTGCAAACTCTCCACCACACTCCTGTTTCTCCTTCCCCAGCCCCCAGAGCCCGAGTCAAGGGCTTGGGAGTGGGGCAGGCGGTGAGCCTGGGCTCGGAGGTGGAATTGATATTCACGGCTCTCCTGCCCGGGGCTGGGGCACCCTGGTCTCCTAGCAAAGTCTCCAAGGACAGGGAGGAGCTGGCTCCTTGTCCACCGAAGCCAGCAGGCGACTGGCCTGCCGTGGGACACCCAGCGGAAGCCCTTGGGGTCAGAGCCAGAGGGCGGAGTCCGTGACCTTGGCCTGCTCCTCCCCAGTTTGGCCTGTGTGTGCTCACCTTTGCAATGATTCCAAAGACAAGTCTGGACAAAGAGCTGCAAAGGTCCCTTTTAGGAGCACAAGCCCAGGAGACAGACGGACTCACATAGTGCATCTGCCCCTGGCTAGCTGCGTGACCTTGGAAAAGTCACTGACCCTCTAAGCCTCATTGCCTTTATTGGCGAACTGAGGGATGCAAACACCCCCCCCCCCCAACCCCACCCCTTCCGAGCCCTGTGAAGGCTGAAGGGATGAGGCTATGACACGCGGGGGGCATTCCTTGCACGTGCCCACTAGGGGGAGCTATGACCCTTCTCTCTCCCGGGCGGGGTAAGTAGAGGGACTGCTGGAATCCCGGAACAGTGAGGTGACAAAGAAGGTGTGTGTCCTGCTGGGGACCGGGAAGTGAAATGCCTCTCGGTGTACGCCTGGTGGAAGCCATCTAGCCTGGAGGCTGGAGAACGGAGACAAGGATCCTGAAGAGAGTCCGGAGAAGGGAAACGGAGGGTGTGGGGCAGCGGTGCTCAACCTTCCTACCGCGCCGACTTACAGGATGAGAACCGCTAGCAGGGTCGCCTAAGACCATCGGAAAACACAGATGTTTGCCTTACGATGCATAACAGTAGCAAAATTGCAGTTGTGAAGTAGCAATGAAAGTAATTCGGTGGCTGGGGGTCACCATAACATCAGGAACTGCATGAAAGAGTCCCGGCATTAGGAAGGTTGAGAACCACTGGCCTAGGGAACTGAACTCAATGGGAAGGCAGCCTAGATCCTGGCCCCCAACAGCCCCTGCAACCAAGACAGAGTGAGACAGAGTCCAGTGCCCACAGGTTGGTCTGTGATGGGGAGAAAGCCCCAAGCCTGCACTACCAGTCCCGTTCTCTCTCTTCTGCACACTCCACACCTTTGTCGCCCCTCTCGCCCGTGGCCAGGCCTTTCCCAGTTGGGCCACTGCTCCCCCCACCTTTGGGATTCAAATAATTACCTCTTCTGGGAAGCCCTGTCACTGGCCTGCGAGCCCTCAGAGCCCTGTGCACTCACTCACGTCTCGCCTCAGCTACAGAAGGTCCACCCTGCACCGCTCACCCATCCCTGCCCTGCCCGAGGGGCGGGGACATTGTCCCTCGGAGCTCCAGCCCCATCACCTAGCGGGGCCTGGCTGCCAGCCACACAGCAGGATGGGGATGTTTGGTTCTGAGCAGATCTGCTGAGTGACAGAATGAGAGTGAGCAACGGTTCCACCTGAGAAACAAGGAGAAAAGGCAGAGCGCCCTGCCCAGGCCAGGCTACAGAGCCCGGCAGAGGCAGGGCCCGGGGGATGGAGGGACAGGCCAGGGTCCCCTGCAGCAGAGGAGAAGCATTGTGGGGCAGGGCTGGCAGCCCAAGGAGGCTCCCTGGAGGAGGAGGTAGGCCAGGTGGAGGATACAGAACTCTGGAAGCTTCTGATGCAATTACGGGGTGGTGGTGAGAGAATATGGGGATGGTGAGGAAAAGCCTAGAGAGTGAGCCTCAGACTCGGGCCATGATCCATCTCTGTCCCCTGGGCCTCTCCATCTCCCCTCAGACCCTGTCCCCTCACCCCGGACCCGTCTCCAGCACCTCCCACCTCTGTTCCCAACCCCGATCTTACCGGGTGACGCCCCCTTCCAACTTTGTTTGCCCACCCCCTCCTCCATCCTCAGCACCACCCTGGGGGCCCGAGGGAGACCAGGAGCCAAGCTCAGCCTCTGGGTGTGAACACACCTCCTGTCCCACAGGGCCAAGCCCGGGGGCTGGAGCACGGCTCCCCTACAAAGGCCGGTGAAGGCAGAGGGGTGGAACCCCGTTTTGTTTTTTTTAATTGATTTTTTACAGAGAAGCAGGGAGAGGATAGAGAGCTAGAAACATCGATGAGAGTGAATCATTGATCAACTGCCTCCTGCACACCTCCTACTGGGGATGTGCCTGCAACCAAGGTACATGCCCTTGACCGGAATCAAACCTGGGACCCTTCAGTCCGCAGGCCGACGTTCTACCACTGAGCCAAACTGGTATCGGCTGGAACCCCATTTTTGACTGAAAACTCAGTGACCTCTAACTCCAGCACAGAGAGGACGAAAATGCTTACAGATTCTCAGACATGGGTCATATACTTGTTGTAAGCATACACGCACTAACACACACAAGGGCACATCCAACCCCTCCCACAACCACCCCCCACACACGCCTCTTCTGTACCTGTACGTGCATGTCCATGTCTCTGCACCCCATGGGCATCTGTCTGTGCCCATGTCACAGTACATGTGCCCGGGCAGTCATGCTCCCAGAGCCGGCCGGCCAGGTCTGCCAGGAACCGAAGGAGGGGGCCAGGCCCTGTCTCCCCAGATTTACCCTGGAGCAGTAATGAACCCCTGGGCTGAAGCAG